GGGGTGGGAGGGGGGTTTGCACACCAACGACTCACAGTTCTCCTCGTCCGAGTTGTCCTCGCAGTCACTGTCCCCGTCACACACCCAGGCCTTGCTGATGCAGCGAGCGCGCGCGGGGGGGGGGGGGGGGGGGGGGGGCAGCTTGCTTTGCCCGGCTGGTTTTGGGGGAGCTTGCACACAAAAACAGTGCCAAAAAAAGCCTGAGGAAGCCCTGCAAGAGGGGGAGCATCCCCGTCTGTGGAGGATGGAGGGTTTGAGCAGGGGTTGTTAGAAGATGTGCATGGGGGGCACGAGGCAGCCCCCATGTGCCTGCTTTGCCAGCGGCTCAATACGTTCCCCCTCTTGCCATGGGAGAGGAGAGAGCCAGCCCAGGAAAGCTGCACAGACATCACCTGCCTGTGCAACCAGACAGGCAGAGGTCCCCAATACCTCTACAGGAGCCAGGGTGGGTTTAGACAGCTGCAGGACATCCAAGGGGTTTAGCTCCCTTCTCAGATCACCAGTAGGTAAAACCCCAACTAGATGCACAGGTGATGTATAAATTACAAGAGATGAAGTCCCCTCCAAACAATACTGGTCAGCCCCTGTTATTGCAGGTACTCACTTCATCTCTGCTCAAACACATCTGGAATGCCGGTAAATTCAATTAAATTGTGTTTCGGTGTATCCCTGAGCCATCCGATGCAATAGTTTCATCTTCCTGGTGTGGGATCCCACCATGTCAATTACGCATACCTCAGTACTGCAGGTGTGTATGTATATATATATGTATGGATGTCCTCTGTCTTTGCCCCCTGCCTCCCCTTCCCAGACAAACAGCTCCCCTCCCGCTGGCACTCACCCAGCTCAGCCCCACCACAGCGCCTGGTTGGTGGCTTCCTTGCACAAGGGACACAGCAGATGACCCTGGGGACATGCCCATTGGCATTGGAGAACCCATGTCCTGGTGTGGTCAGCTCCAAATAAACAGGGTCCATTGCTCATCTATCTGGTGTCTCCCAGTGTGAGGTGTGCACAAGCACTTGGAGGTTCAAAACCACGTTTCAACTAACAGTTTTGGCGTCAAAATGGCTAAGGAGTGTCTCTCACTGGCTTGCACAAGACATGAAGTTTTGCAGCATTATAGCACAGCCTGGCATCGCCTCACAGCACAACATCACCTCAAGGTATTGCCTTATGGCATGGCATCACCTCAGGGTATCACCTCATGGCATGGTATCACCTCACGGTATGGCGTCACCTCACAGTATCACCTGAGCACCTCAGGACATGGTCTCACAGCATAGCATCACCTCATGGCATCACCTCAGGACATGGCCTCTCCTCACAGCATGGCCTCATGGCATGGCATCACCTCATGGTATGGCCTCTCCTCACAGCATGGCCTCATGGCATGGCATCACCTCATGGTATGGCCTCTCCTCACAGCATGGCCTCATGGCATGGCATCACCTCAGGACATGGCCTCACAGCATGGGCTCACCTCATGGCATCATGTCACCTTGCGGCACAGCCTGTGGCAGAGGAAGGGCACTGGGGGGAGACAGGAAGCCCACCACCACCACCACCCTCCCCCTGTGGCCATGTGGAATAAAATTTCCAGCTTTTGAGGTTTTTGCCTCCCTTTCTGCACCATCAGCTGCCTCCTGCCCCGGGCGGACTCTGAGGGGGCACCCAGGAGGTGGGCAGGCGGGATTTGCACCAAGACTTGGGGCTGGCAGTCACGGTGATTGCTGTGAGATGACTAATTGGCTAATCAGCAATTTGCTAAATGCTTTTATGCTCATCACAATAAAAAAACAGCTGTGGAGCCACTCTGTCTGCAGGAGCAGCAGGAGAAGGAGGAGGAGGGAGCTACCAGGATTGCTGTGCCCCCGTGTTACGGTGGGGGAGATGAGGCACAGGGTGCAGCACCCAAGGATAAGGCACCGGCCCCACGGCCACCCCTCTCAGGACCTCCTGCCCACTGGTGAGCACAGGGGGGGGGTCTCCACAGCTGTCTCTGCTGAGGACTTTGGGGGTCTCCTCAATGCAGCATTTGTACCCAAGCTGTTGGTTTTCAGCAGCCACAAAAAATCTTCATGAATTCGTCTAATCCAGCTTTGGACAGGGTTGTCCCCAGCCTGCGGCCCTGGTGGCACCAGCGCTGTGAGGAAGGAGGGTCCGGTTCCCCACGCACTGACCCCAGGAGGGGGGACATCCCAGCCCAGGCTTCGCCCGCGGCACCAGGGGCTCATTCCCCAGGTGAGACACTAGATGGAGCATCTAACATCGCTAATACTTTTTTTTTTTTTTTTCCTTTTTTTAATCCCATAAAGGACAAATTGAAAAGCTAAATGAAAACACAGATTAAGTTGTATCCAGCAGCCCTCGCGTCCCTGTCTGCGCGCTGGGCATGCGCCGCCCCAGGAGCAGGTGCCAGGGGCAGGAGGGGACATTGCCTGGGCCACGGCCATGGCATTCTCCTGCAGAAACACAAACCTCAAAGTGGTCACGGCTCTGGGTGCGCACGAGGGAGATGGGGATGCTTTGGTGGCCTCTCCTTTTGTTTCCTCGAGGCCGTCCAGCCCTCCCAGGTTTCTCTTCAGCCCGGGAGGCAACAGGCTGTGTTAGCACCTCAGTTGTGAGCCTCCCCAAACCGGGGTAGGCGAAGACACAGGCGCCAGTTTTCCTGCTCTGAGAAGAGCCGAAGGTGTCTGATATTCCTGGAAAGCCCGTGGGCGAGCGCTGCGTTTCCCAGAGCAATTACGGTGCCAGTGAGGATTACTAGTGATGTCTGTGCCTGAGCTGCTCCTCCCAGCAGCAGAAACTTTTCCTAAA